GCCTGGAACATAGCCGTACTCATTTATTTATAGATCGTCCACGGCCATTTCCGGGCGTCAGGAGCAGGGCTGAGTGGTTGCAACAGAAACCGTATTTATGGCCCAAAAAGCCTGAAATTGTTCCTGTGTGGCCCTTTATGGAAAAAGTTTGGCAACTCCTGGTCTACAGCAGTAATTCTCACACTTTAGCTCCCTCAAAATCACCTGCAGGGCTGCAGAAACACGGACTGCAGCCCCCCACCCCGTCCACACCCCCCAACTCCCGAGTCTGAGTCACCCAGCCAGGGGCTCGAGAATCTGCCTTTCTAATCATCTCCCAGCTGATGCTGGAGCCACGATTTGAGGACATTCGGGCTTCAAAGCTGACCTTTGGCCCCACCTGAGCAGCTCAGAGTGCAGGCTGGGAGTGGGGCGGTCTTGGGGAGGAGAGAGAGCGGGAGGTGGAGCTCCGAGGCCCATCTGAGCCCCTCTTCCAGGCTGTCCTTCTCGTGGTGTCTGCTCCCCCCTGGTGGCAGCAAACCTGGAGCTGGCCTGGCACACTAAGCCTTCACCACTGGTTCCTGCATTTGGAACGGCATTTCAAAGCTTTCAAAGTTTGCACGCACTTGCCCTTAGGGAGTCCACTTGCTGGAATTTAATGGGAGAGAAGAATCAAGGATGCCAGTTGGCTGCTCATGGCTATGCTGTTTGTAAGAGGGTAAAATAGGAAACCAAGGCCACACAGCTGCTAAGAAGCCCAGGTGGGACTTGAACTTGGGTCTGTCCCATTCGAGAGCGAGTGCTCTTAAGGGCAACACTGCACAACCCCTCGGGAGGCTTCGCACCTGCTGTAGCGGAGAGCGTGGCCTCTGGAGCTGGACTGCCTTGCGTTGAATCCCGGTTCTATTACTAACTGTGCAGTATGGGCAAGTCTCTTAACTGCTCTGTGCCTCAGTGTTCCCATCTGTGTAAAGGGAACATAATTGTAACGGTTACAAGACTCAATGTGAGTGCTCAGAGCCGTCCACTGTGGGAGCAGTGTCATTCAGCCCCCACCTGTCTTCTTCTTTGCCCTTTATCCTCCTTTCCTCTTCTTAGCGGGCCCCCGGGGTCTGGGGAGTAGGGGATAGAGCTGAATACGCGGACTGCTGGGTTAGATAGGCCTGGATCTAAATCCTAGATCTTCCGTGTGACATGGGCAGGTAACGTCCCCTCCCTGTGCCTCAACATTCTTATCTATAGAACAGGAGCAGGAAGATTAGAGCAGCTTTTTTTTTTTTTTTAAAGATTTTTATTTTATTTATTTGACAGACAGAGATCACAAATAGGCAGAAAGGCAGGCAGAGAGAGAGGAAGGGAAGCAGGCTCCCTGCTGAGCAGAGAGCCCGATGTGGGGCTCGATCCCAGCACCCTGGGATCATGAACTGAGCCGAAGGCAGAGGCTTTAACCCACTGAGCCACTCAGGCGCCCCTAGAGCAGCAGTTCTTGAAGTGTGGTCCAGAGAGGCTGCTGCAGCCCCAGGACAAGGGAGCTCAGAAGCAATTCTGATACCAGCCCCCCTGGGGACTGTGACACTCCCGCAGTTTGAGAACCAGCGGTTAGAACATCTACCTGTTAGGCTTATTACAATAGCACAGGAGAAAATGCTTTCCAGTAGCTGCTGTCATTGCTCCAGGCTTATGCCTTCTGGGCCTCTGCTGATGGGGCAGGCATATCCCTGCTCCAAAGAGGGCCAGTCGGATCCCCTCTGCTGGGATCTGGGAATTGGAGACATTAGTCTCTGTGTCATGCCTGTGAGGGGAAGGGCCCAAGTTGGTGGGCAAGGCCATTGTTTGGAGACATGCATTTTCCTCCACTTGCCTTAACAGTTGGGAGGGCCAACCTGCAGAGAGAAGCTCAGAGCTGAGACGTTTCAAAGGGAGACCAGATAGCCCTGGGCTGGGGTCACCCATGTCTGGATCCTATGTCCACAGATACCAGGCTGTCCTACCTGCTCCTGGGTTCAGTAGGACACCTCTGGCCTCTCCTGAGAAGTTCCTCCTTTGCTCCTAAGTCGGAATGAGGGGGTTTCTGTCATTTGCATCTTAAAGGGCTCTGGCATGTAGAGGGCTGGGAGTCAGGGTCAAGGGGTCAAGGGGGGTGTGCCAAGGTCAGGGGTCATAGGCCTGAGGGGAACCTCTTCCCTCCTTTCCCTTGCCCAACTGCTGGCCCAGCCAGGAGATCTGAGGTTCAGCCCCAGTCCTGTTCCCTCATAGGGGGCAAAGAGAAAAGGAGGCATCGAGGCAGTGATGGGCTAGGCCGGTCCTGAGAGCTGTCAGAGGTCGCCTCGGGGCCCCTCCGTTATCTTGGTCCTAGTTCCTGTGCTGAAACCCCAAGCATCTCCCCAGGGAGCCGTCGAGGTGAACCCTCCCCACTGGCTGGGAAACAGCAATAATAAAGGTGAAGGGTTTCCTTGTAGTTACGTTTGTGTACACTCACGTGTATTTAATGGGGTGGTTGTGGCGGGACACTCAGTGAGCCTTGGATTTCTGGCTGATCTGGGAGCTGACTGGGGAGGGCATGAAAGGGGCCCTGTGAAGAGAGTCCTGCCTGGGGTGGGGTTGCTGGTTCCAGTGGAGGAAAGGCTGCAGCGTCAGGCGTGAGAGGAGCGTGGGTCCTTCGAGAGAACCAGCGGGCTGGAGGCACCACTGGAGACAAGCGCTGGTTTCTGGGCCACAGCTGGCTGTGCCCGGGTCCTTGCAGCGAGAGGGGGTGCCCTGCGTGTGCTTGACACCTGCAGCTGGGTCCGCCCCTGGGCGGGGAGTACAGCCCTGTATGGAGGGATCCAACTGCAAAGGCTCAAGAACCAACCCCCAACCCCGCGCAAGGTCCGATGGGTTTGGGAGGAAGGTGGGGGGGGCTACGGAGAAGGCTTCACAGGCTCCAGCCCTCACTGTGTCCCTGCTGCTGTGTGACCTTGGGCAAATCACCTGCTCTCTCTGAGCCTCAGATTCTCATCTGTGAAAGGGGGAGAGCACTTTGCATCTCCTAGGCTTTGTGGAGGAACTTGAATGAACAAGGTACACAGAGCGATAGGGGCTCAGTAACTCCATTGTGGTGTGATAACTATCACTCCTTGAGTCAAAGACCAGGCAGATGCTTTGTACTGAAAGGGTTGAACAGCAAAAAAGAAGGCCCAGCCCCTATGAGAAAAGGCTGCCGGTCCCTGTTGGAGAGTCTGAGGTTGGGGCAGGTTGTCAAGGCCAGGCCTGAGGCCCAGAAGACCAGAAGCTATGCCCCGTGAACGGAGTCCTGAGAAACAGGCCAGTCTCCAAAGAGTCTGGTTGCTCTGACCCTCTGTAGTAGGCGGGAGTGGAGAGCCTTAAATCCCTCCTACCCCAGGTCAGGATCGGTCCTTGGTCTTGGTGGACTAGCACTAGAAGGAGGGGCTACAGTGAGCAGGTAGAGGGGTACGACAGTGAACGGTCCTATGCCTGTGTCCTTGGTCTTTATGGAGGGGCTGTGGTGCCCACTGGGCTCTGTGGGGGTTCGGTAAGTCCTGCTTTGCCAGGCTGGGCGGATGGGCTGGGTATGAGTGAAAAGCCCGAGGCAGGCTGTGTGTGCTCAGCCCTGCACATGTGAGAAGTGGGGCGGGGGGAGGTCAGAGGAGCCAGAAGAGCGAGCTCAGGGATGGCCCAGCTACAGGGAGATGATGTGACTTGAGTGGGGCTTGTAGGAGCCGAGGGGAGCTGTGAGCATAAGGGCTTCGAGGTGGGACAGCACAGAGCTTGCCTGAAGATAGAGGACCCAGTGGTCCCGAGTGGAGTCCTTGTCAGGGAAAGGAAGGGGTGAGACCGGAAGGCCAGTCCACGGAGAGCCTGGAGGGCTAGGCTCATGGGCTGGGAGTCTATCCAGTTGGCCGTGGGGAACCACAACAGGTTAGTGAGCAGGGTAGTGATGTTTGTTCTAACTGGATGGCCAAGTTTGTGCCAGGCTGGGAAGGGTTTCGGTGGGGAGCGTGTGGGGAGAATCAAGAGGGGAAGGGTCTTGATTTCACAGTCAGTTTAGATGTTACAGGAGGACCCTTTGATCCTTTGGGCAGGGGGATGTGATGTTATAAGCAGAAAACCTCTGTAAGTGGGGCGCCTGGATGGCCCAGTCGATGAAGACTCTGACTCTTAATTTTGGTTTAGGTCACAATCTCAGGGTTGTGGGATGGAACCCTGCATCAGGCTCCGTGCTCAGTGTGGGGTCTGCTGGAGATTCTCTCTCCCTCTGTCTCTGCCCCTCCCCATACTTGCATGCTCTCTTTCTCTCACTCTCAAATAAAGATTCAAAAGAAATCTTAAAAAAGAAAGGAAAGGAAAGAAAAGAAAAGACAAAACCTTTGTAGTGTGGGGCGCTTGGGTGGCTCAGTGGATTAAGCCTCTGCTTTCGGCTCAGGTCATGATCTCAGGGTCCTGGGATCGAGTCCCGCATCGGGCTCTCTGCTCAGCGGAGAGCCTGCTCCACTCCCCCGCCTGCCTCTCTGCCTACTTGTGATCTTTGTCTGTCAAATAAATAAATAAAATCTTAAAACAAACAAACAAACAAACAAAAACCTTTGTAGTGTCCAGCCTCAGTACATTGCCTTGAAAGGGGTCTCAAGTCATCAGTGGGCCGACCCAGTTCTGCCTGTGGGATCAAGGACAATCCCTTTGTCCCTCTGATCCTCAGTCTTCTCCTCTATAAACTGGGCATGATGTACCCTATCTTCTCCCATGAGTGTGAGGCTTAATGAGACAATGAAAGGGTCTAATCCAGCGCTTGGAACACGGTAGGTGCTCAGTAGACGGTGTTCCCTCCCCATCTCCCACTGTGTGGCTGTCACAGAGCTGGGCAGTCTGGCTCTCCATTCACCTCTGATCAGATGGAGTTTTTGCTTTCAGAGGTCATCCACACATTCATTCATTCAACCAGCATCCAAGCAGCACTTCAGAGCACCTACTGTGTGCTAGGTATTGGGAGACAGATTTGAATTAGACAGCTGTCCTTTGGCCTTGAAAAGTTTATTTGCTCATTCCTTCAGCAACATCCACGGAGCCCTACTGTGCGTTTTGGTCTGGTGGGGTTGGGGTTGGGGGTCCAAGTGAGCCTTTTGGCAGGGGGAGGGGATGGGGAAGGAGCCAGCCAGCCCCACAGCTCACACCTCTGCGTCTGGGAAGAGCAAGAACCCGGAGAAGATGCTATTGGCACCTTCCAAACCCAGCAGGGCATTCTTGTCTGTGGCCTGCAGAAACACGTTCTCCCCATTACTCAGCTTGAGGACCACACCGCCCGTGGTGACCTGGAAGGTGTTCTGGGCGTAGTCGCAGAAGGTGACCACCTTCTCCATGCGCTCCCGGCCCCGCATGAGGTTCACGCACAGGTTCCCTCGCGAGCTGGCGTGGTAGGCGAAGTAGTAGATGCCGGGCACGTTGCAGGTGAACTTGCCGCTGCGAGGTTCGTAGTTGCGGTTCTCGTTGGTGATCACGTGGTCAAAGCGGATGGGCTGCTCCCGCCGCAGGATGCTGTTGATGGTCCTTGTGGCAGAGAAGGCGATTTTCTGTGTGGCCTTATAGTCCCCTGACTCGCCCTTGGGGCCACGGGCTCCGGGGGGGCCTGGGGAACCTTTGGGGCCAATGGGGCCCTTGGGGCCTACTTTGCCTGGTTTCCCAGGAATCCCTGGGTCTCCCTTCTCCCCGAACTCGCCGTGGTCTCCAGCCAGCCCTGGCAGCCCTGGAAAAGCAGATACAAGAGACATGATGGGCCAGGGATCGCTGAGAACCCAAAGAAGGAGCCCCCGGGCTAGGGGTCCGGGAGCCTGGCTGTGTAACTTCTGCCATGTCCCTGCTCCTCTCCGGGCCCCAGCTTGCTGTGTGTGGAAGAGAGGAGGGTGGGGGGGGTCTCCTCCCAGCCCCGCTTTCCCCTGACACCCGAGGAGCGGACAGTGGTGTCTCCTTAGGGAGGGTGCTGGGCCTGCCCTCCTCACCAGCTCATACAGGCTCCCCTGTTCCAGCCTGGAGCCGGAGAATGAATTCTCGGCCCACATACTCTCCCTTCTCACACCCTCCCCAGGGTAGACATCTTTAATCAATCCCGACATTCCTTTCACTGGAGCCTAGAACTGGGTCTTGGAAACCTTCTCATGGGCCCTCCATGCGGCCGCTACTCCTCTGTTTGGCACAGTGTGAGACAAAACCTCCTTTCCAGGGAAGGGGCAGAGTATTGTGGCTGAGAGCATGGGCCCAGGGGACAGACAGATGTCCCGCCACACCTGCCATTATTAGTCATGTCCCCTTGATGGAGTCACACTCTCTGGGGCTCAGCTTCCTCCTCTGTAAAATGGGCTCATGAGGATACTTTGTGGGATTGCGAGGGTCACTTGCGATTATGTGAAGACAAAAGTTGGTTTTGGTTAAATGAATGAACGAGAGACATTTTACAGGGGGTTGTCTTGGTGGGAAGTCTCATGTGAACCCTGTGACAACCCTGCAAAGAATCTGCCCACATTTTATAGGTAAAGAAACTGCATTTCAGGGAGGGGAAGCCACCCACCCGGGAGATAGCCCAGGGCTGTGCGTCTGCCGCGGTGCTCTCTGTCTGCCTGGTCTTAGGGGTGAGAGAGCCAGGGGCTGGTCTCAGCCTCAATATGGACGTGGATCCCTCAGGCAAAAGTAGTCCTTCTGGACGTCAGTTTTCTGGGCTGTAAAATGGGAATCGGAATTCCCTTTTCTCAAAGTTAATGCAGGGCGGAGGAGAAGGGGGGGCTTGGCAAGCTGATGGATTTGCAAGTGCTTTCGCGATCTCTCGGGTCAGCCGCTGTGACCGGGGAGGCAGGAGATGGGGCCTTGCTCAATGACACAAACGTATCCCCCAAAGAGGGCAGTACCTTTCTCTCCCTTTATCCCTGGGGTCCCAGGTTTGCCGTTAGAGCCTGGTGCACCGGGGATGCCCGGGATGCCAGGGATGGCCGGGTGCCCAGTACAGCTGCTCTGGGCCCGGGAGGCACCCGACAGACTCAGGAGCAGCAGCAGCACCAGAACGTAGCCCCTCGGGGCCGTCATCACCGCCCCGTCTCAGCTACCACCTGTGGGGGGACAAGAAGATGGAGTGGGTTATTGCCACCGAGACTCGTAGCACGTGTGCCATCATTCATTCACTCCTTCACATACTCACTGAGTGTGTCCTTTCCACCAAGACAGACCCTGTGCTGGGTGCTGGGGTGACACAACAATGGCTCCTGCTTTCATGGAGCTGGTAGCCTTAGGAGAAGGCGGATGATAACCACGTAAACAGAGAAGTCAATGGAAGCAGGGAGAGTCTGCAGAGTTCTCTGCAGGAAACGCAGGGGTGCTTGGAGGGAGAGGGAGAGCCACTGGGGTGGAGGGGCAGGTGGATGGTTTTCTGGGTTGTAGTGGGCAGGCGGCATCTCTGAGAGGGGTGTTCGGGCTGAGAGCTGGAGGTTCAGCAAGGACTGCGGCAGGAATGTTCCAAAAGGAAAGGAAGCAGGGGCAAAGACCCGGAGGTAGGACAGCTCCTGGAGCATCGGGGACCCTGCAGGGAAGCCAGTGTGGCTGGAGGTGAGTGAGGGGTCGGAGGGATGGGACGTCAAGGCTGTGGCTCTCTGGCTTTGGATTTTCTTGCAAGCGTTCTCATTCAATAGAGCTTCTGAGTTCAGGGAGCCAGTTCTGTTTCCAGAGCAGGCCACTTTACACCCTCAGAGCACAGCCTGGAGGAAGCTGTTATTTTTATACCAAAGAGGACCTGGTGGCTCAGGGAGGCTGCAACACTTGCTCAGGGTCATACAGGAAGGACTGTAGCCAGTACTCAAACCCAGGCCCATCTGCCTCTCAAGCCAGTATGCCTGCCCGCACAGCAGGCCATCTCTGCAGATGAAGTATCCTCAGGTCCCTCCAAAGGCTGGCGGAGGAGGGAAACACTGGCCCCTTCTGAATCCCAGAGAACTAGGAAGAACTGTGCTGTCTTGATCTGGTCAGCACAGCCAACTCCCCACAGCATCAATTCTCAAGACAGAAGGGAACTTAAAACTCATCGGATCCACTGTTGCTTTACAAAATTGAGGGGACAGGGGCACCTGGATGGCGCTGTCGGTTAGGCACCTGACTCTTGGTTTCGGCTCAGATTATGATCTTGGAGTTGTGAGATCGAGCCCCACGTCGGGCTCGGGGCTCAGTGCGGAGTCTGCTTGGGATTCTCTCTCCCTCTCCCTCTGCCCCTCCTGCTCATGCTTACTCTCTCTCTCTAAAATAAATAAATCTTTAAAAAAATTGAGGGTCATTCATATAATAAAAATTAAACCTAAATTGTTTATCTTTGCATGAGACCGGTTCCCAATCTTCCTGGAGGTTTTACAGAGTGACGGATTGGACCACTTCAGTAACCCACACATTGGGCACTTAGCCAGGCTCCGGGCCAAACACAGTACGTGCCACTGTCTCATTGCATGTGGTCCTCAACACAGCCCCCATCCACCTCCAGGGAGGCACCCAGCTTTCTCCTCCAGATGGGGAGACTGGGTATTAGAGAGGGTGGGACCCCCGTCAAGGTCACAAGACCACTTTGGGGCTGGGATTCCTACCCATGTCCTTTGCATCTTCAACCTCACAGGGTGTTTTGTTAAGAGGCTGCTGAGCCTGGTGGTTCGAACGTGGGCTTCGGAGCCAGACAAGCTGATGGGGCCAAGGTGTGGTGGCATTTGGAGCAGCGCGGGGTATGGCGCTCAGTGGAGGCGTCTATCCTTACTGCTCCTGCTGCTGTAGCGGGCTCTATGTCAGGGACCCCTGATGACTGCCAGGGCCCCAGTCAGTCCTCTGCCTCTCCCAAGTAAGGGCCTCAGGCAAATGGCTTCTCTCTGGCGTGTTTCCCCTTCCACGAAATGGGGATAATACTAACCTCTGGCATGTAGGATTGGTGGGAGGACGGATGAGGTAGGACCTGGCATGGTGGAAATGCTGAACGAATAGTAGCTGTTTCTGTATTATCCCCATCATCTACAAACCCCCGGATATGATAGAGGATGGTTGGAAAAGTATAAAACAGGATCCAGCCCCTTTGGGAGATGGGGCTCGGGGAAAAGAGGTCTCAGGGGGATGCCGCCCAGGGGTGGAGAGCTACAATCTGATGGTGGGGGGGGGGCATGAGGGCAGTGGGCCCAGACCCACCATGAGACTCAGGCTTCCTGGGAAAGCAGGAGGGGGGGTGGGGGGAGGGGAAGATCCGGGTTCTGGCTCATCTCAGGGCCCACTGAATCTCAGATCTGGGCTAGGACCTAGGACTCACCTGGTCTGATCCCTCTCCCCGCCATGCATCACCACCGCCAGACTTGCCCCTCACATCTTTTCCGTGTCAGCAGTCCTCCCAAATCCTTCCAGCCCCCAACAGTCCCTTCCTGCCCCACCCCCAGCTTGGAATCAGGCCAACTGGACTTACACTGCCCCTCTGCTGCCAGCTCATTGTATGACCTCAGGCAAGGACCTTAACCTCCCTGGGCCTCTTAAGCAAATTTTACCTGTCAGGGCGGAGGATTCAGTGAGATGGAGTCTGAGAGGAACGTGGTCTCTCATGGGGTGTGTGGTCCCACCCCCTCCTTGACAAACAGGGTTCGCTTCACTCAGGGCTAACTATTAACTGCTCGCCACTCCACCTACAAGTCAAATTCGTTCCTTGAAAGAGTCAGGCTGAGTTTTCTCAGCAGATGGAGAGGAAATGAGAGAAGGCGGGTGTTGGAGAAATGCTGGGCTGGGCGGAGGGGGACCTGGGTTCTAATTTCACCTGTGCCTCTGACATGTCCTGAACCAGGTCAAGCTTGACCTCCTTTGGGGCTCTCAGTGCCCCTAGAATGTTCTATTATTCCCAGAGAGGGTCGAAGCTGAGAGAGGTTACCTGCCTCGCCCCAGGTCACTGGCATCTAAGAGAGAGAAGCAGGACTCGGCTCGAGTCTTGCTGACTCCAAAGCTCTTATGTGGGTGCCTCCCATCACTCAGGGCTAGCCGTAGACCCCCAAGTGCACCCCCAGGGAGTTTGACTCCCCGGATCTGGGATTGGGCCCAGGGACCCAGACGGTTAATTGCCCCTGGTGGCTCTGAGGCAGGGGACGCAAGGGGTCCCCTTTGGAAATCATCACCCCCTGCCACATGGGTCCTGCTGCCGCTCCCCCCAGGCGCCAAACCCCAACCTCACCTGGGAACCTGGTGTCCGGTGATGCCGCTGGGCTGGGCAGCAGTGGGACGAGGACCTAGGCGCCTGCTGCTCTCAGGCCGAAGCGGAAGTTCCAGTCCCCAGAGACAGGAAGGGCCTTCCCCTGATGGCCCCCTCCCCTGGCCCCAGCAGGACGTCCCCCTCCACTCTTGGCCCACCCAGGCAGTTTCAGGTCCCATTTCTGCAATCTGGAGGGCTTTACTGTAAATGGGGAGGGTGGTTGGCCGGTTTGGTTTCGCCAGCTCAGCAGTTGTTGGGAGAACAGGCTGTGCTGGGAGAATGGCCGCAACTGGTGGCTTGCGTGCCAAGGTCCCCCGGCCTTGCGATCCCCTCCGGTAGACATGGGTGTTCCTCCCTGACATGAGAACATGGCTGGCCTGGGGCCTGAGCACTGGATTTGGAGTCAGAAACCGTGACTCATTTTCTGGCTCTGCCCCTCATCAGTGAGCTTGATTCCTGAGGTCTCGAAAGGGGGCCAAAACATTCTCTGCCAAGAGGACCCAAGGGAGCCCCAATTTCCTCTGCTAGATGATGGGACTATAAGGACACCTGTGCTGTAGACGGCACAGGGCACTGGGGGGGGCTCATTTGCAATCATGGAGGAGAAAGCGGAGGGTAAACTAGAAAGAATAGGGTATGTGTTAATTGCTAAGATCACGCATGTCTCAGGCTTCCCTTTTTTTGGGTGCATCTTCTTTGCCTTCTTCCCGTTCTATACTTCCGCTCTTGCCCTGTTCTCAGAAAATTATCTAATCGTGAATTTCGAATGTGGTCATTATTTATTGATAGCCCTTCCTTCTGCTGACAGCAGGGCTCGAAGCCGGTGACCATGATGGGCATAGGCAGGAGTTTACTGCTTGTTGATCCTGGAATCACACCAGGTCCGGGCTGGACACAGGCTTGGAGGTCACCCAGCTCATTCCCCTCACCTTCTATAGGGGAAAACTGAGGCTCAGAGGGGAGAAAGTTGTCACTGAACAAATGTCTATCATGAGCCTCCCTGTGCTAGGTGCTGGAGATGGTCACAAGCAAATCAGCCGTGTCTCCTGTCCCCAAGGAGAGTTCCTTCTACTGGGGGAGACTGGTTTAAACATTGAATGACGCAGTGGTCTCACGGCCTCTGTGATAAGTGTCAGAGAAAAGAGGGGACTAGGAGCGCCTGGGTGGCTCAGTCCATTGAGCGTCGGACTCTTGGTTTCGTCTCAGTGTGTGATCTCATGGGTCGTGGGGTCGAGTCCGGTGTCTGGCTCCTGCTCAGCAGGGCGCTGGTTTCTCTCCTTATTTCTCTGCCTCTGCCTCTCTGCGCACACTCTTCTCTCTAAAATAAATATATAAATAAATCTTGGGGAAAAAAAAGGAAAGGGAAAGGAAAAAGAAGGGATTGCTGCAGCGCACACCTCATACACGTGGCAGCTGCGGGGCTCAGAGCCCTCCCTGACGCCAGGGTCTCAGCCTGCTCGCTGACGCTGCATCTGAGGCAACGTGATCCCCTCTCAGCGGTGGGTGCCCTTTGTGGGGACAGGTGCCCCTCTCTGGGACGGGTGCCCCTTGCAAAGACAGGTGTCCTTCTCTGGGACGGGTCCTCCTCACTGGGATTGGTGCCCCTCACTGGGATGGGTGCCCCTCGCAGGGATGGGTACCCCTCATGTGGACAGGTGTCCCTCCTAGGGATGGGTGCCCCTCCTAGGGATGGGTGCTCAGCTAGATCAGGAGCTGCCACAGGTCAGGAGGGCCCCACTTGACATCTGTGTTTGGAGACAGAACATCTTTGAGCTTGTGGATGCTAACTGATGGAAATTAATGGTTACCTGCAGTGGGTATTAGGGAAAGAAGAGACTAGTTTGGTAAAACCAAAGGGTCTCTGGGCTTGGCCAGCTATAGACTTGAAGGGACTGAGCCTGGATGAGGAGGGAAGGCATTGGATTCTGAGCTGGGAGAAGGGTAGAGCTCTGTACCACTTAGTCTCTGTGCCTGTGAAATTGTAAATTCATAGGTTGCAAGTCTAGGGTTCTTCTGAGGGCCCCCAAGGGCCACCTGGGCCTGGGCTTCTAATTCTTTGGTGGCTGTTGGCAATGAGAAAATGTGAGCTTGAACTTGGAGTTCAAGGAGACAGCCAAAGACTAAGAGCAGGAGGCAGCAGGGAGGGGAGGACAGCCATGGGCTTAGGAGTCATCCTCTCCCAAGTTTGAATCCCAGCTTTGCTTTGGTCTAGCCATGTGGCCTCAGGCACATTTACTGGCCTCAGTTTCCCCACATATGAATGGAAGGCATAGGTTGTGGGGGACCGTTGAGGTAACCCGGCATGTCCAGGGCCCAGCCTTCTGTAGGTCCCACATGCAAACCCAGGGGCAGTGTTATATATACGAAGAGAAGAATGAATTCCTGGAGGCTGGGTGCATGGGAGCCATGCCTGGATCAGGGATCAGGAGCAGAGAGGTCTCTGGGCCTCGGCCCCTGAGTAGGAGTCAGCTGGTGTCTGTACCTATAAAACTCCGCCTCACATCCCTGACACCGAGAGAACGATCCCTACCAAGCGTGGCAGCAGAGACGTACAATTCCTCAAGTTTCCGCGGTCTAAGAGGGATTCCTTGAGGCTTGGGGTGTCTTTGTCTTCTTTTTAAAGTTTTTGTTTATTTATTTTGTTCAAGGGGAAAAGCTGCGGGAGAGGGAGAGAGAGAACCTCAAGCAGACTCAAGCCGTGCCTTGGGGCATCCTCTTCTTGTTCCGGTCCCACCCCCCTCCCCCTTGCCTGCCCCCCTTCGAAGCCTCGCCGGGTTCCTCTCAGCCCAGCAGACAAGCTGGCATTTTCAAAGGCCCTTCTCTCATGACAAAGCGAGAACAACAAGGAAACAATTATGGAAAATAAAAACGGCACAAAAGTTGTCGTTTCCAAAGCACAGGTTTCTGATCTGACACTGTGGCCTACATAAATGGTGTATTGATTTTTTAAACAAAAGAGAAATGAGAAGAAAGTTGTATCACTTGTGGCGTTGCTGGGCGGACTGCTAAGTGGCTGATGGAGGAGAGCCGCGAGGGGAGTGGCCCCGTGACCTGGCCCTGTCCCTGCCAGAGGCACCCCGTGACCCAGGCGGGGTTCCTGGGCTCTTGCTTCTGTTCCCACTGTGTGTGCTTGCGTGTGTGTATGTGTGTGTGTGCGCATGCATGACTTTCTTGTGCCACCGGATTTGGGAACATAGGCTCTAAAAAGTCACCTAGTTTGTGATCCAAGGCTCTGGAGGGCACTGCGGAGACACAGAAGGGAGAATCAGGGAAGGCTTCGTGGAGGAGGTGATTTTTATGTTGAACCCTGACAGCTGAGTGTCTATCCGCCAGGTGGATGGAGGGCTAGTGTGTGAGCGGGGTGGGGGGCATGGCACCCAACAACATGGCAAAGGCAGGAGGGTGTGGAATGGCTCCTTTCACGAACAAAAGAGCCAAAGTTTGTGGTGCTGGCTGTGGGCCGCAGCCATTGTTCTGACAACCCCGCTTGGGTGGGTCAGTGTTCCTGTGAGCCCCGTGGGACCTTGTGGAAGCAAGCTGAGATCCCAGCCGGGCTGGGCAGGTTCTCCTTGGGTCTCGGTGGGCTCTGAGGCTGGATGGGCAGTCTGCCCAGGAAAGTTACACTTTTTTACCTTTTTTGAACTTAAACTATCAACCCTTCTCATGGTCACCACAGGGAAAGCACTGTGGCTAGAATCTGGCCTCCTGGTCCTCCAGCAAGGATCATGGCATCTGAGTCCAACCATCAGGAGCCTTGTGGGGACAGCCTACCAGCCTGGGGACAGCAGTGGTGTTCACTAAGCTCCTGGGAGCTGCCAGACTTTGTCGGTTACTTGGGGTGAATCAGACAAATGGGGGGACAGATTCTCTCTCTCTTACTGGCTCATGCCCATCTCACTCATACACTTACTCTGCTTTTAGTCACTCATTTACCCACTATTTAATCATTCATTCGCCCCAACTAATTCATTAATTCGGCACAAATTCACTGCCCATCTGCTCTTGGTCTACATTGGGCTTACCTGAGCCCAAACCCCTCCTGTGACAGGCGCAGCCACAATTCAGCACGGGTCTGGGAATTCGAACACGCCTGTTTACCCGTGAGCATGGACAGCTTTAATGACAGGAGCACCTCTCACCCAAACAAGTGACAGCAGATGGCCCATTGGGGACCTCTGGCGGCCTTCAATCACACTCTCCCAAATGGCCACGGGATGCTGAGTGCCAACCTTTACTGAGCACCAGCTAGATGCTCTGTCTAAATCTAGAGCCCGCAGATGGCGGCGGCAGGTGCAAAGCTGAGGATGAAGAGGCCGCTTCTTGGAGAACTTGGCAGTGAGAAGCCTGAGACTTGCATATTTATCAACTTATTTATTTATTTATATATCTCCTTGCCTTTCCCAAGACTTGGGGGTGGGGGGGGCAAAAAACGTTGACAGTATTAGAAGGTGTTGGTTAAGTCTCAAAGCAGTGACTCCTGAAGGAGCTCAGAGGAGGGAGAAAACGTGGGGCAGGGGGTCAGGGTGGGCTTCCTGGAAGAGGAGTCCATCAGGTGGGGAGAATGGCCTGAGCACAGTGGTTCTCGCGGGGAAGCTCAGGGAGACGGGGCGGCCCTGGGGCTGGAGCCGGTCTGACCGCCCTAGTCGGGAAAGAGCAGGAAGCCGGAGAAGACACTGTCAGAGCCTTCGGTGCCCACCATGCCGTTGTAGTCATTGACCGCCAGCCACACCTGCTCTCCCACCTGCAGCCGCAGCAGCACGCTGCCCGAGCTGACCTGTTTGCTGTTGGACATGTGGTCACAGAAGGTGGTCACCTTGGTACCGTTGCGGTACAGGTGCACGCACAGGTTGGCCGTCTGCGACGTGTGGTACACAAAGTAGTAAAGCCCCGGGACTTTGCAGGTGAACTTGCCGGTGCTCGTGTCGTAATCCCCCTGTGGATTGGTGATGACTCTGTTGAACTTGACCAGGTTGTTGGGCCTGGGGTACTCGGCCGTCTGCCGTGTGACTGTGAACACGGACTGGTGCTTCTGCTTGTATCTGCCCTCCTCCCCTGGCTCCCCTGGGGGTCCCATGACGCCGGGAACCCCTGGAATCCCAGAGGTTCCCATGGGGCCATTTTTCCCAGGAAAGCCAGGTGTGCCGGGTTCTCCCTTCTGACCCTTGGGTCCTCGTGTTCCAGGGATAGCTGGGATTCCTGGGGAGAGAGCAGGTGGGAAGGAAGTGATGGGACAGGGAACAGGGACCCTGGGGGTGTCCTCTAGGGGACAAAACCCTGGAGGTTAGCCTCTGGAACCTCCTTCCCTGGATGGACTGTCAGCTGGAGGCTGTGTGCAGGGAGTTAGAAGAGACGGAGGCCTTGGCTGGAGTCCCGCCTCTTCATGGACTTGCCCTCTGACCACGGCTAAGGTGCTCCCCAGTATGTCGGCCTCAGTTTCCACATTTATGATGCAGAGAGTAGACCTGGCCAGCATCTGGAGGTGTTGGGACTCATTCTAACACGATTTGTAGCCTGTGTAGATATGTGTACCCACCCCTTCCCTGCAATCAGATGTACCGAAAATTTTGTGTTACTTTTCAAAAGAGAGCCCTCATCATTTTATAAGCTTCAGAACCCCACAAAAGTTGTATCCGTGCCTGAGACGGAACCACCCCGGACCAGCTTAGCACATGGGAACCACTGGATGGGTTCCCGTCTAAGACAGCAACTAAGGGGTTGCTGTCTCCCGCTCCCCTGGCCCCATTCAGCTCCCCCCCACAAGCCTCTTATGACACCTGGGCTGGTTCAACTTCTCTCACGGTACGGATGAGGAAACTGAGGCCAGAGACTCGCTCAAGGCCCAGCAGCCAGGAGGAGGTCGAGTCAGGATTGAAAGTCAAATCTGGTTGAGTCCCAGTCAGAGCGAGCGATTCTTGCAACAGCCCTGACTATCTGAGCCCCTGTGAGACTTTTCTCTCCTTGTCCTAAGTGTCCTCATCTTTTCGGGGCTGGCTCTAGTCTCCTCTTCCCGGAAGCCCTCTCTGGCCAAGCCCGCCAGTCCTCATGGCCGCTTCCTCCTCTGACTTCCCGAGGGCTGGCTGTCTGGGCTGACCTATTTGTGGCAGGTCCTCCCTCTATGGCTCTGTGAGCCTTTTAGGTCCTGGAGTTAGAAAAGGGAATCAGGATCCAAAAGACCCAAGTGAAAGCTATGTGACCCTGGGCAGGTGACCTCCCCTCCCCAAGCCTCCATGTGCCTAACTGAGGAAGGGGCTTAATGGAACAGATCCCAGAAAGCCACTGGGAGCTTGGAGCGGGAGTGTGCGAGAGCCGGGTACCATACAGGAAGTGCTCGGGAAGGTCAGCTCCTGGTGAGGCCTGGAGGCACGCAGGGCCCTGTCTTATTCTTCAGGACAGCTTCCAGCAACTGTTTGGGAGGGGGCGCACATGCTGGGGGAGGGGCCTGACAGGAAGTGGGGGGGGTGGTGGCCAAAGGCATGGCCTTTGGCATAGGACAGGATTCCGCTGTGTGACTTTGGGTAAGTTGCTTAATCTCTCTGAACCTCAGCTTTAACATTTATAAAATGGCCGTAAGGCACTTTAAAAAAGGATTTTGGCTGCAGTTTTCTCACTTGTAAAACGGAGTTAACAATTTTACCTACTCCATAAGATAAGCATATGCTGAGCATTTGGAACCATGCCTGGCATAGAGTAGGAGCTCAATAATTGGGGACCGTCAGCCACCCAGGCCACAGGGTGGCCAGAGACAGCCTTGTAGTATAAGTTCTTGAAAAATGGCAGACCTGGGGGCCTCATTTGGCTCACCCTGAATCAGAGATTTCCTTCTGTATTGTTGGTAAAATTCCATTCTAGTGCCAGGAGGGAAGATGGCAGTGGGGAAAATCCTAAGGACATTCCTTGTCCCTGGCCTGCCCACCCCCGCTTCTGCCGCCCCCCATCACCTCCGTCCAACCTCACCCCAGTCTCACCCATGCTGGCTGTAGACACACCTGCATCCCAGATATGGACCTGACCCAGAAGGCGCCCCCAGACTCCAGCACCTGCCCAGCACCCACACCCCTTCATGTCTTCAGCCCTCTTTGCTCACGCTCGGACTTGCCCATCATTCTGCAACCCCGACTTCTCACTCCCCATGCCCTCAGCTCCTCAGGATCCCAGGGAGGGAGGTGAGCACAGACCTCCCATAAAAGCAATGATGACAGCTGCAACATGCATAGCTTACGCGTCCCCGAGACCTTGCACGTGCACGGTGCTTGGTTACATTCCAGCTTGTTTAATCATCCCAGCGCCCCTGTGCAGCCTGTACTACTGTCTCCCCATTCGACAGATGAGGACACTGAGGCTCTTTGCACAAGGAAGTGGTAGGGCCATCTGTGCGTTGTGGACACTCACCATGTCCACTCCACAGGGTCCCCCCAGCACCCCCCCGCCCCCGCCCTGAGGTTCATGCCGCAGAGCAGGTGCACAACACTTTAGAATTTGCCAAAGGTCTCCAGGATCATCTCCTGTGATCCTCCCCCCACTTCCTGGGACAGGTGCTCTCATTCTCTCCTTGGTGTCAGACGAGACACTGAGGCACAAAATTAGGGAACGGGGGGACTGAGTCCTGGGGTCTGAGGAGAGATGGGTGACATCTGCCAGGAAAGCTGGACTCTGTTCTGAGAGCTGGTGCAGCAGGAAGGATTGCATGTCTTGCTAGCAAGTTGCTGTCCTCCTCCCCCCAGCTTTAGCCCCTGATGGACACTTGCCCGCTGCCCCCAGGCCTCCAGTGATGCCTCCCCAGCAGGCCGGCAGACTCACCTGGCTCGCCCTTGGGCCCCGGCAGTCCATCGTACCCGTCCTTCCCAGGGGCCCCTGGTAGGCCCGGCATCCCGGGGATCCCATAGCAGCCTGTGCTGGCCTGGCCCCCAAGTGGCAGCACCAGCAGGAGCAGCAATAGGTTTAGTCCAAGGTGGGGCCGGGAACTGGACCCCATGTCCATCCTGGGGAAGGATCTGGTTAGGAAGAGAGCTGAGTTGGCCCACCCAGCCCCTCACCCACCCTCCTCACTCTCTTGTTCCCCAGGCCAGTTCTTCTCAGCCCTCCGGAGCCTACCTCCCTTCCCCAACCCCCTTCCCTTGGCCCTTGAGGGCTGGGACCACAGGATGGATGGAGGATGGGACATCTCTGTGCCCAGGCCCTCAGCTCAGCAGTGATGGAGACCCTCCTTCCTTTCACCTATCAAGTTGTCCCCACGTTTCAGGGAGGTGGGAGGGGGAACTGCCATTTGCCCTCGTCTGGGCGGGGGTCCTGGCCTCACCTGGGTTGGCAGGATTCTGGTCTGGTCCCAGAGATGTCCTCAGATCTGCTTCCGTTCTCCCAGGCAGGAGGATACTGTGTCAGAGTAGTCACATCGAGGAGGGCCCAGAGCAGGCTGGGCGGCCGCCTCCCCTCTGCTCACCCTTCTTCCAATCCCACATCCCCTTTCCCATAATTTTTCCTGACTCAGGATTTTCTTTTGGGCACTGAGTCTGGCTGACCGCAGCAATGCTCCTGTGTTCCCCACCCCAGGGTCATGCATGTCTGAAATGAGGAAATGTCTACTCCCCGGGGTCTGCTGGAGTGTGTGTGTGTGTGTGTGTGTGTGAAAGTCCTTACCAAAAATCACGTGTAAATGGTTTCTTGGGGTCCAAAGCCTTGCTCTGACCTCTCTGCTTCGCTGCCCCAAGAAACAAACCTTGCATGCACTTGTGAAGTGGCAGGCCTTATTCTAGAATCTTCCATTTGCCCCTCTCATTTGTTACACTTGGGGGTGGACACCAGGATGGGCAAGCCTCGATGGCAGGCAGCCTGCCATGGTGGACAGAGTCAGTGGCCCCGGATGTCATCCAGCCCTGCCACTACCTTGCTCTGAGGCCCTCCACAAACCACTCTAGGCTTCAGTCTTCCCGTCTGTATACTGGGGGGGCAGGAGGGCAGGTCTAGGTTTTGCATGTGTGCACGTCTTCCTTTGCTGGGGTCCTTGATGATCCCTGCCTCCTTCTCCTCCATCTCCGGCACCCCTGCTTCTGGTCTTGGAGCCTGTGGTGGCTGCTGCAGGGTTGCTGGTTGGGGCCAGGCTCGCAGAGCTGGGAGAGGGCCCTCTCCTCTCTTCCTGTTCTCCTCCTATGACATTCTGAGGAGGAGGGGCTGCTGAGCAGTTGAGGGGTCCCACCCTGACACCCCACCTGCCCCCGGTGTCACTCGGGGTGAGGCCTTTGACCTCCCTGAGCATCCATTCCTCCTCTGTAAATGGGGGGTTCCAATAGCTCCCATGCAGGGCAGTGGTGAGGACTCAGTGCGTGAGGCAAGTGCAGTGCTTAGCCTGGTGCCAGGCGTGAGTGGGAGTTCACAGCTCTACCCCTGCCCCACCAAGTGACCTTAAGGGCATCAGTCTCCTTTTCTGTCCCTACACCCTTTCGCCCAGGGCTGCAGAATGTGAGCTGAGGGCAAGGATGTGAATGAACTTGGCCCCGGAAGTCCCCAGCAGGTAGAGGGCTGGGAAGAGCAGAAAGGGTAGACATGACTGCTGGGGAGACCCCATCTTCCATTCTCATCTTGTTTGCGCGGGTCCGTGATGTCCAGCAGGTGGCAGCCTTGGCCCATGCTCAGCCTGCCCTGCCCCAGCGTCCAGGCCATGCAGGGCTCTGCCTGAGCCTGTTCCCCTCCTCCAGGTGATCTGCCCCAGGCAGGGTGGGTGCGGGGGTGCGTCTAGGTGGGATTTAGGATAAGGAGCCGCCTGACCCTCCCTGCACTAGCCTGGTCTTTCCCACCACTTGCAGGGTCTGCACTCCAGACATCTTCGAGTCCCATTGCAATGAAAGGAGCGCTCCACTCTGGGGTCAGCAGAGCTGGTTCACATCTCGGTCTTGCCACTCTCTGGCAGTGTGACGGCGGGTAGGCATCTCCTGTCCCTGAGCCTCCGTGAGGAGGGATTGCTGAGATCCGGTGTGTCCGTGGCTAGGAAATACCCAGCCCATCGTAGGTGCTCGAAGATCTGCTTCATTTCCTAGAAGTGTATGTTCTGGGCCGGGAGGCAGGGAGCTGGGGCGGAGCAGAGGCCCGAAGCAGGCAGAGGGGCAGGAGGAGACCAGCGCGGCCCTGGGGCTCCAGCGGGGTCACCCTCTCCTTCCTGACCCCCAGAAGTTGCAGGTGGGGCAGCCCCGGCCCAGGAGAGGGTCTCTGGAGTCTGTCAGAAGCCTGGGGGGAGGTATGGGTTTGTGGGGACTCCAGCTGCCCCTTGTGTCCGACATTAGGTGGGAGACACTGATCCTGGGGCTCGGGGGCCGGCCGGTGGGAGTGTGAGCGTGTGTGAGGGTCAGCGAGTGAGAGAATTGGGGCGGTGCTAAGGCACATATGTGTTGGAGGATGAGGAGGGCGCGGCAGGAGTGTGTCTGGGACACATGTGTCGAGGTTGTGTATGTGTGTGTATGTGTGTGTGAGAGAGAAAGAGTGTGTGTGTGTGTGTATGTGTGTGTGTGTGTAAGAGTGTACTTCTGACAGTTTAGGAGGGGTACTTAGGTGTCTGAGACACGGGGTGCCTGGGTAGGACAGCACGGATACCCCAAGTATGTCTGCGGGTGTGAAGGTTTCAACGAGTGTGCACGTGTGGTGTGCAGGTGTGTGGTGTGTGCGCAGCACAGGGCACAAATGGCTTTCTCTGGGGAAACACCCAGGGCATTAGACATCCTCAGGACCAAACTTCCAGCTACTTACTGTCTTCGAATTCAGAGGACGAGGTGGGGGCTTCTTGCCTCCGAGCAGCTCTGCACAGGCTAAGTGGGACCCCGGGAATATGCACCATGGGCACCCCAGACCTTCTCAGTCCCAGTCAGCAGGGATGCCCAGCCCGGGAGGGAGGAGGCCACAGCCTCCATGCTTGCCTGGGAAGCCCAAGGCAGGACTCAGGAATCTAGCTTTGGGGAGGACTGCTGCCTGCCCTTGGGCTTGTCGCTCTCCTTCTCTGAGTCTTGCCCATGTTTTGCTGGTTCAGGGTTGGAAATCAAGTGTCACCTGTCAGGCGTGTGGCTGTGGAGGCTGGCAAGGGCCGCCGTCACACACACACAGGCTTGGATACCGATAAGTTCTGGGCTCAAATCCCAGCTCCTTCTCTTCAACACTGACCGTGGGCTTTATGTCCACCCATGCCCCTAGCCTGCCTCATTATCTGGAAAGTAGGGTCATGATACCCGCCTCACTCCCCAACCCTACAGATGAAACAAAATACAATAATGGCTCAAACTTCCCAAGTCCTTACTACGAAGCAGTCCCTGTTCTGCAATTTCCGTGTATTAAGTCATTCAGTCCTCCCGACAAGCCTTTGAAGTAAGTGCCTTTGTTATTCCCATTTTACAGATAAAGAAACTGAGGTCACTCAAGTTATATCATATACCCACGGTTGGCCAACTGGTAAGTGGTGGCCTAGGATTTGAACCCAGGCCGATGAGGCTCCCATGTATTTACAACAATACATGTTGTAAAATACGAAACACAGGCCTGCCTTGTAAGCACTCAATGATTGTCATTCCTGTGCTCCCTCCCAGTGCCCAGAACAGCATTGGAACCTCAGGCTCAGCACACAGGAACTCAGGTGTTTATTCTAGGAAGAATTCGAGGAAATCCATCTTACAGTGGGCAGTGGGCAGTGAGTTCTCGGGGGCTCCGGGAGCCAGCCCTCACCCTTTAGGCGGCTAAAGCAACAGCACCCCGATAGAGAGCAGACCATAGAAACCAGAGAGGTAGAAGGCGTGGGCTGGAGTCACACAGCAGGAAGCATGTGCGGCCAGGGGCGGGAGGGTCCTTCCGGGGCTCAGATGGACGGGAAGATGAGGAAGCCGCTAAAGACACTATCCACCTCCGGGCCCTGGTAAATGCGGCCCTTGACGGGGTCTTTCTCAATCCAGACCTGGTCCCCTTGCTGCAGCTGGAGAACCATGCCCCCGGACACCACCTGGAAGATCCCCTTGCTGTTGGTGTCACAGAAGCCCAAGGAGCGCCGGAACTGGTCCCTCCCAGACGACACGATGGACAGGCAGATGTCCCACTTGGACACCACCTGGAAAGTGAAATAGTAGTAACCCGGCACAGCACAGAGGAACCGGCCCGTGTGGTTCTGGTATGGGCCTTCCTGGTTGGTGATGATCGTGTCGAAGATGACCACGTTGCCACCCATGGGGGGGTTCCGTCTTATGGCTGAGAAGGCCGGCCGTGGCTGGTCCTTGATGTTTCCTGGGTTGCCCTTGATGCCTTTCGGTCCTGGGGAGCCAGGGAGCCCCAGGGGGCCACTGGGTCCAGGAAAGCCCATGTTGCCAGGCTTTCCAGAGGGCCCAGGGTCCCCTGGGTCTCCTTTAAGGCCTTGGATGCCTGTCCGCATGCCGGGAGCCCCTGTGGGGAGAAAGGCCAGATCTGGAGGGGGAGTCCAGTGTCCACCAGTCCTCAGGGAGATGGCTGGGACCCTTGGCTGCGGTGGGATGGAGGATGCGGGAGTGCCTGGGCCTTCAAAACCTTGATTCTGGCTGATTGTGTGACCTTGGGCAAGTGTTTCAACCACTGACCCTCAGCTTCCTTATCTCTAAAGTGGAGAAAAGTGAGAACAGGTACTTGGAAGCTGTCATGTTCTTGCAAAAGCAGGACAGGCTCCTCTATACCCCGCTGGGCCACTGCCCCTGAGTTCTTTGGGTTCGGGACTACATTTAGGAGGCCTGGAAGCCAAGTATTGCAAATGTTTATGCAAATCCTTCTGGTCTGCTATGGACTGGGAGGCTCAAGGGGACTGAGATTATCTTTTTCTACTCTGAGCATGTCCTCCTCCTTTTTCCTTCACAGCCACCCCCCTCCCCCACCTTTTTTTTTTTTTTTTTTTTTTTTTTTTTTTTAGAATGTGAGTTTCTGAAGCTGGAAGGGGCTGGGAATGGGGAAGCAGGGACAGAGTTGGGTGTGGGGGCTGGAAGGATGCAGAAAGGATAGTTGCCATGAACTGATCATCTCTACGTGCCAGGTAGGGTTATTTTTTCCATTTTACAGATGAGGAAACCGAGGTTCAGAGAGAGTCAGTAACTTGCTCGAGGTCACACAGCAAGATGAGTCTCCTGAGTCCAAAGATGAGCGCCTTATTCGTTCCGGTAACTGAATGACAACCCAGGACTGGGCGCTGCTCCAAGACCTTTCACATTTGTTGCTTGTGGTGGTCCGTGAGAGAGAGGACTCAGGCAGGAAGGGGGATTCAGAGAGAGGCCTGGCAGCCTGGGAACATGTCCAAGGAGGAGGATAGGTTCCCCTCAGCCCCTGGGACCAAGTGCAGAATGAAGGGGCTTCATGCGGGGGCCCAGGCTGTCCCCAAGCATCCACCCCGGAGGCCAGGCCCAGCCAAGGGATGAAGTGCTGGGGTCTAGAGGAAAGGGCTTACCTGGCTCCCCTCGCTCCCCCTTGAGGCCTGGCCGTCCATCTCGGCCGGGTGGTCCTGCAGCCCCGGCCCTCCCGTCCGGTGCTCGGCACACATCCTGGGTCACTGTAGAGGCCAAGGATATGGCCAGCACACAGCCCACCAGCCAGCCCCACGGGGCCTCCATGATGCCACTGCGAAGACATAGGGCAGGGCTAGACCTCACACACTCACACACACCCAACTCGTACATACACTTGAATCCCACACCTACAATGATATCTATACATACCCCTGCCACCAGGGCACATACACACCTCCAGGGCCTTCAATGTCCACCTTGCACCCAGCCCCAGTGACCCCGCACGTACATGAAGAACCAGAAGTTCACACAGATGCCACACACAACTGAAGTTACACATTCAGACACACAAACTTGGCTTCCAATCCCACACGGACAAACACAGGGAGCAGACTCACAATCCACTCCACACTCCCGGATGCACGAATGACACCCAAATGGACTCCATCTCGTACTCAGCCACACACTCATATAGTCCTACAGATGATCAATTCCATTGAACAAATATTTATCGAGCGCCTACTTGTTATTAAATTAACACTCTCTCACCCAGATGGCAGAGCTGTGCGTACACATAGGAATTCACAGCCCCTGACACAATGCGTGTGCTCACCACCGCCCAAATACTTGACCCCTTTCAGCACCTACTGGACTGTCTACGGGACCCCTGCGCTGGCTCTGACACTCCCAGTCTTTCCCCAGCTTCTTGTGTCTTGGGGAGGCCAAAACCCAGGAACTGGTTAAAGGGATGGGTTTATATCACCACTTCCCACTAACTCCCAAACCCGAGGAATGAAGATGGTCCCCCCACTCACTTATTCTGGGTCCTGAATCCCGACCCCCCCCCCACCACCGGCCAACTCTGTCCTGGCAGAGAACCAAGGACAGTGTTCCCCCTCCCCTGCCTTTGTGGTCCAGCCCCCTAGGCCAGCTCCCCTGGCTCCCTGAATTTCACAGCCCCCTCCCCCTCGGGCGCTGGCCTCACCTGCCTTAGCTGGTCGTCAGTTCAACTGGATGTTCCTGTCCTCCACCCAGGGACCGCTGTGGGACACCCAGCAGGGGTACTGCCTGCCTGGCTGTGGCCAAGTTTCACATCCCTTCCTACTTCCCCTTCTCCTTCCCTGGGCCTGCCCCCAGCCTTGCCCCAGGGGCCAGAGGCCTCCCGGAGACAGTTTGAGCAGACCTCAGCAAGACTGGGACACTGGACATTCCCCCCCACCCCCCACACACACACGCAAGCTGGTGTGGGGGCAGGGACGGGAAGGCAGGAGTCTGCAAAGACAGAGGCCGTGGAGGGGGTCCTGGGTGGGGTGTGAGAACCAGGGATGCACAGAACATCAGGGCAGACGGAGTTTTTCTAAAAGTCAGTAACTTGAAAGACTTTTTCGAGTTTATGAAAGCAACATGTATTCATTGTATAACGCTTGGGAAATAACAGAAAAACACAAAGGAGAGTGCAATAGTGATGAGAAGCTTAGTAATCAGCTTTCTAGACCTGCCACTTCCTAGCTGCCCTTGGGAAGTTACTTAATGTCCCCGGGCCTCGGTTTTCTTATTCATAAATTGGGAACAACAGATTTTACCTCATCGGAGTATTATAAAGTTTCAATGACATAATATATATACAAAACACTTGGCATGGGATGAACACTTAATAAGTAGCATTTATTGGATTTAAAAAACAGCAACAAAAGCCCATGAATGCTATCACCTAAAGAATTACCCTTTGGCAGGATCATCTAGTCTTGCTTACTCTTGCTGACAGGGTGCTCACTACCAGTCAGCCCACATCACTTCACCAGCTTGGACCCCGAGCATCCTTTAGATAGAGCTACCCTTTCTCTCCAGTCTGGAGAGCAATGTGTTCAGGCTCAGGCTGACCAGGTCTTTCTGCTTCTTCCCATGACCATGTTCACCACCCCCCACTCTGACTATTTCACCAAAAGGAAGATGAGGAGGGGAAAACAAGTCTATTGACCTGGGCAGATGAAGATCGTCCAGGGCCAGGGTTTTCAAGCTTCTGGGACCCCTTTTTCATTTGCAATCTTGTATGGTACCCAATATGTATCTGACAGATATAAGTGGGGGTTCTCAGGATAAGAGTGGGGGCCCTGAGTAACTCCCACCAGCCCCTCTCTTGCTCCTGGGGATTCAGGAGGTTAGGAGAGCTGGAATCTCACGGGCTGTGCCCACTTGTAACTCGCTGTGTAACCTGAGGCAAGCTATATCATTTCTCTGGACCTCAGTTTCTTTATCTGTAAAATGGGGATGATATCGGCTTCTCACTGGGCTGCTACGGATTCTATGAGGAAGTTGATGCTGTCATATACCACATTCAAATCAATCATCATTATGAATAATATCTCTGTGACCATGGGCAGGTTACGTAACCAGTCTGAGCCTCACCTCCATCTCTCAAGGTGAGGGAGTGGCGGGAGGCAGGAAGGTCGCAAGAAGGTTGCACCCTGGAACACGGCTCCGGGCACCCATTTTCTTTGATGGCAGCATGTCAATCTTGCTTCCCTGCAAGAGGAGTTAGAAATATCATGTGTCGGAGTCAGAAACGCCAGGCTGATGGCTCCCATTTCACAGATGAAGAAACTAACCACCAGAGACAGCAACGCTTGCCCAAGGTCACGAAGAAAGTGGCAGAGTTGGCATGGGGAAAAACCAAATACTGTGAAAGTCTTCTCAAAGTATAGCTTCCAAAATTTTGAATAGACCATTCTTATAGAAATATATAGTGAGCACATGTGAGTTTTTAAATTTTTTTTGTAGCTTGTTAATGAAGGAACCAGCAGGATGAGAAAGCTAGTTCAATGAAGGGTATGAGAAGGAAACATTTACATGTACCTATATATGGAGAGAGAAGAGAGAGATTTAGCAGAAAGAAAAACAACAATAACCCAAAAATTAGAATTCTGGAATATTCATAAGGTTGCTAAGTTAGAGGCAACACTGGTGAATGTTTATAGGGCAACAAAATCATAATGTCGGGGGTTATCTTCTGTATTAGAAAGAAATCATTTGCATGATTTCTCTACCAGACAAAAATAATTTGTAACTTGCCAGTTTTCTACCAGCTAACAGGAGTCTTTACAGATCCTGGGCCCTGATCAATAGCAAATAATAAGTCAAGCAGAGTGACATTCCCCTAGAGTGTCAGATGACCCTTAGGAGGGCTTGTTAGACAATGTTTTGATTTGACTTTGAAAGGACATCGGTTATCTATTTGCCTTATTTCCAACTGTTGGATGATTTTACTTATCAGGCTGTTGCAAGTGTATAACCCTTCCCAAGAAATAAAAGCCATCGATAGGAATGAACATAGCATTAGTGTGAAAGTAAATGGGTCAGCAACAGCCCTGTGAATGTCACAACAGAGACACCTTCAATCAGAAGGGATGGACATAGTCTTCCTTTTTTTCCAGAGCTCAGACTCCTGAAGGGGAGAGGTAGGGGGGTGGCAGGGGGAGGTTGGGGAGGTTGGGGGATGAGAGGAACCACTCTGTAATGCCTGTAGAGTCATGATCCGTGAGACCCAGGTGTAGTTAGGAGTTTAAGCAATAACCAAAAAACAATTTTTAAATCACGCACATTCTTTTTTTTTTTTTTTTAAGATTTTAAAAATTTATTTGACAGACAGAGATCACAAGTAGGCAGAGAGAGGAGGAAGCAGGTTCCCTGCTGAGCAGAGAGCCCTATGCAGGGCTCGATTCCAGGACCCTGGGATCATGGCCTGAGCTGAAGGCAGATGCTTAACAACTGAGCCACCCAGGTGCCCCTCTCTGAGTGTATTATTATCTCCATATTATTTTAAAGTTTTGACCCCATTCTAACTTTGGAGTTCTAGTCTTTCTTCTTTTATTTTCTTTCTTTCTTTCTTTCTTTTTTTTTTTTTTAGACTTATTTATTTATTTGGTGGGGTGGGGGAAGGAGAAAGAAGAGGGAGAGAATCCTCTGAGCCTAACATGGGGCTTGATCTCAGAACCCTGAGATCATAACTTGAGCCAAAATCAAGAGTCATCTGCTTAACCAACTGTGCCACCCAGGTGCCCCTGGAGTCTAGTCTTTAATTATTTTTTTTTAAAGATTTTATTTATTTATTTGACAGAGATCACAAGTAGGCAGAGAGGCAGGCAGTGGGGGGGTGGGAAGCAGGCTTCCTGCTGAGCAGAGAGCCCAATTAGGAAGCTCCATCCCAGGACCCTGGGATCATGACCTGAGACAAAGGCAGAGGCTTTAACTCACTGAGCCCCAAATCACTCACATTCTTGATGGTGGAGTCACATCTCACCCAAGGGTTGGGGTTCCAAAAATCAGCATATTAAGCAAAAATTGTAAATGGTCACTATTACCATGTGGGGGGGTGGGAAATCTTAGGAAAGCGCCAGGTTGGAAACCCTATTATCACTTCACTATAGACCTGCGCAGTCAGCTTCAGCTTTGACATTAGAACAGAGTTCTCTTTCTTTAGTTGGGTAGCAACTGGCTCACGGATATCCCCCTCACCCCCCAAAAGAGGCATGGAATCTTGGAAGACTGAGATCATGCAGCGTTAATGTGTTTAGCCCACCAGGGGCTCATGGGATCGGAGGCAGACTTGGGGAAGTCAGGTCTGTTCAGCTCTCCCTGTCCACGCTAACTCCAGAAATAGGCTCCTTGAGGGTCTGTAGTGATGGCAGCATCCCCCACCTTACTGAAACTGGTATTTGTAACTCTTTGTCTCTCTGAATCTTATTAGGCAAAATGCAGATTGTCAACTGTTATAGAACAGGGCTCCAAAGTTCCTGTGTTTTTTTTTTAATCAAAAAAATTGAAGTATAATTTACATACAGTAAAATGCAGAAATCTTTTTCTTTTATTAGAAAGACAGAGAGAGAAAGAGAGGCAGAGGGAGGGGGAGAGATAGAATCTTAAGCAGCCTCTGGGCCCAGGGGAACTCGATCTTACCCCTGTCGTGAGTGTGTCTGTCCGTTTCTTATAGCTGAGTAGTATACGTGCATATATCACACCTTATCAGGTCCTTCCCCATTGGTGGGTATTTTTGTTCATGATGAATAGAGCTGCTGAGAGAGCCTTCTCCTACAATCCCCTATGCACTCAGGTCTCTGCTGTGCTGTTCGTACACTGTGAAGGAGGCACCGAGCTTACCCCCATACCCCGTCCTCCCCATCCACTGCCACGCACCTCTCTCTTCAATACCCCTTCCCTCAAAAAAACCCACAAATCTCCCAGGCCCTTCCTCAACCTCTTTTTCTCCTTCTCCCGGCCCCCATTTCACTCCCCTTGCTCTTTGTTATGGAGATCTTCTTAATGACTGGTCTCAACTCTTTGGGGCTGAGAATCCTCTCCTTGTATCCTCCTTCTCCACCACCCAATGAGATCAGGGTTCTCCTAGGCAAGGTTGGAGGGGCAGACTGGGAATTGGGGAGGGAGCTGTCCGAGCCTGCCACACGTCTTCAGCGCACATGCTTTATTCTTTGCCTGTCTTGGCAGATAAAAGCGTTTTGGAGGCTTGTTTTATGAAAAACGGAGGGGATTGTAAACACCAAATAATTTGTTGGGGACATGAGAGGCAGCACGGGTTCAAATTCAGCATCTGCCTTCCGTTTGCTGCGCGCTCTTGCACGAGAGAACTCCTGGGTTTGGGGGTGACAATTGACCCCTCCAACTCTGACAAGGCTTCAGGTCAGTGTGCCTTGTCCCCGGTGCGGGACTTAGCAAAAGTCCAGTCTCCTCCTCCTTCCCCTACCTGCCAGCCAGGGGGCCTGGGCACAGTTCCAGTTGAGAAGTTTGGGAAAGGGAATGTAAAAAGAAAACAAAAGGCGGCAAAAGCAATTTCACTGGGGGAGGGTGAAGAAAAATAGGGAGAAAGCAAGCCCCCTGTAATGGCTGGTGCCTGCATTCCGGACACCCAGAGTGAAGCCAGCCCACCCTCCTTCCTTCCAGGGGCCAGGTGGAGGCCCACCCGGGGAGAAGTTCCCAACAGGCAGATCTAACCAGATCTAGTGGGGAAAGGCGCTGATGGAAGCTGCCAAGCATGCAGGTAGGTGAGATGTAAAAAGATGAAGAGGGTT